CGCATACGGGATTGAAGGGGGGCCAATATATCTTAATGCTATGGTTGGGTTTTACCTTAATGAACATTAGTAGTTGCGGATGCTTGCTAATAGTTCCAATCATAAGTGCATAGAATTCCAAGTCAGGGATGACATGCTAGCAGTGGCTTCTCCCACATAATACTTGCTATCGATCTAGTAAAGTAGTCAATTGCTTAGGGGCAATTTCGCAACTCCTACCACCACTTTTCCACACTCGCTATATTTACTTTATTGTTTCTTTATCTAAACAGCCCCTACTTTTTATTTACGTACTCTTTATTATCTTCCAAACCTATCGAACAACACCTACAAAGTACTTCTAGTTTCATACTTGTTCTAGGTAAAGCAAACATCAAGCGTGCGTAGAGTTGTATCGGTGGTCGATAGAACTTGAGGGAATATTTGTTCTACCTTTAGCTCCTCGTTGGGTTCGACACTCTTACTTATCGAAAACTGTTGCGATCCTCTATACTTGTGGGTTATCACTCAACACTATATATTATTTCCCAATGATGTATGGCTATCCTATGATGTTTGAGTAGATCCGTTTTGTCCTATGGGCTATTTGATGATCGTGATTGGTTTGAGTTGCATGTTTTATTATTGGTGCTGTCCTATGGTGCTCTCCGTGTCGCGCAAGCGTGAGGGATCCCCGCTGTAGGGTGTTGCAATACGTTCATGATTCGCTTATAGTGAGTTGTGTGAGTGACTGAAACACAAACCCGAGTAAGGGGGTTGTTGTGTATGGGATAAAGAGGACTTGATGCTTTAATGCTATGGTTGGGTTTTACCTTAATGATCTTTAGTAGTTGCGGATGCTTGCTAGAGTTCCAATCATAAGTGCATATGATCCAAGTAGAGAAAGTATGTTAGCTTATGCCTCTCCCTCATATAAAATTGCAATAATGATTACCGGTCTAGTTATCGATTGCCTAGGGACAAATAACTTTCTCATAACAAAAAACTCTTTACTAAAACTAACTTAGTTGTGTCTTTATCTAAACAGCCCCTACTTTTTATTTACGTTCTCTTTATTATCTTGCAAACCTATCCAAAAACACCTACAAAGTACTTCTAGTTTCATACTTGTTCTAGGTAAAGCGAACATCAAGCGTGCGTAGAGTTGTATCGGTGGTCGATAGAACTTGAGGGAATATTTGTTCTGCCTTTAGCTCCTCGTTGAGTTCGACACTCTTACTTATCGAAAACTATTGCGATCCCCTATACTTGTGGGTTATCAGGCACTAACTCGATTCAAATGGAAGCCATGGCGACATAATTGTATGGTAATTTGTTTTCCTCGAAAGGGGTATTGGAGATTGAAAATGTACTTGCAATTGTCCCGTGTAAGGTTATATCGGTGATTAATGTTTGATCTTTGAACCATATATACAAGATGATATTAAATGCATATTATTTTAGATGTTTCACCTAAAGGCCCACGGCCCAGATGGGTTCTAGGCTAAAAAAAATCAATACCACTCGAACTCGTGTGTGGTGTAGGCGTCACCCAAGCTTTTCTTTCAATGGTGAGTGAATGAGTCAACAAAGACCATCAAAAACACCATTTTGATGCTTATTTCCAATGTATAAAATCCCTCGAGTCTCTTTCAGCTCTGTCTAGTTACTCTTTGCAATGTCTTGTATAAGACAACATCAAAGGTTGTGGCAAACCAGTTAAAAAATATTCTCTCGGAAATGATATCAAAATGTCATTGCATAGTAAAAGAAACAACTAGTTTATACTAAAGTTTTTTTTATCTTTTTATAAGTCCATGTGTCACAAAATCTTAAGTAGTTTTAATAAGATCTTTGCCATACAATCTGAACTAATATTTTCCCCGTTGTATCTAACAACATAGGAAAGCAAAAAAATTGCTCAAAGTTCACTATTATGCAACTTCAGGGCCTAGTTTTGTCAAAATAGATGAATTTTAACCAAAGTTTTTCATGATTATGTTTAAATATAAGAAATCATAAGATATGGCAAATCACATCGAAGGATTATTTTCTACTATTTAGATATACTATAGTGTGTTTGTGTTTATTTCAATAGCTGTAAGAATCTTGGTGTGTCGTAGAACATATAGACTTAATAAATATCCTGATGAGATATAGCGAGTATGACTTATTTGCTAACTAAAATTTGTCGGAATGTGTGTGGTGTCAATAAGCGGGGTCTTCTCGAATACCCTCCCTCTCCCTCTTTGGATGATTTGTTTTTCTTTTCCTTTCACAATCAAATCTTCCCCTTCCCACTTTAGGGTTATAATTGGCCAGTGAGCATGTGTGGCTCGTCACATGAAAACGGTATTTTTAACATCTAAAAAAGGAACTGAAACCCAACCAAAGCAGGTTATATTGATGTTTCCCTCGTTCAATTGTCGGTTATATTTAATCATTTAGTTGCATCGAGTGCTAAATGATCAGGGGTAAACACACAAAATGACACCCTCTCCGATTTTTTACTTCATATGTTAGGTATGTATTAAGTCATATGTAAAGTTTGATCAAATTTATACACTAGTTAAACATAATATGAAAAATATACTAAATTATGATATTGATGTATCCACTTTTAGTAATGTGATAAGAAGAATATATGTATCCACTTTGTGTATCTATCTGTTGTAGTAGATTAACATTGATGTATGTGGTGAGAACTAACATGTTGAAATGAGCCATAATATTTGCCGGTCGTTTACAATTGAACTTATATTAAACATGTGCACTAAACTTGTCGGGTGCGAGATATGCCGATGTGAACTATGATGATCTACTAATTGTGTTTTAATTTGAAGAGTTAGATTATTTACACGCCGCGCGCACACACACACATTATTTATGAAGATGAAGTAACTTTTAGAACTAGTCAATGTACATGCAATGCACGTTAATTTGGAAGTATATTAAGTGCATGCGGATATTAAGTTGGATATTATTTACGTGTTATTATGTGATTAGCACTATATTTGACATGAAATTAACTGCATGCTAAACGTGTTAAGCGCTCGACATTGAAGCAGTCTGTGTCGTTGGATTGACATGATTTAATGACCGAGATTAATTGGATCTGCCCATCTGGGTCTTTTTATATTGGTATAGATAAAATTTGTCGGAATGTGTGTGGTGTCGATAAGCGGGGTCTTCTCGAATACCCTCGCTCTCCCTCTTTGGATGGTTTGCTCTTCTTTTCCTTTCACAGTCAAATCTTCCCCTTCCCACTTTAGGGTTATAATTGGTCAGTGAGCATGTGTGGTTCGTCACATGGAAATGGTATTTTTAACATCTAAAAAAGGAACTGAAACCCAACCAAAGCAGGTTATATTGATGTTTTCCTCGTTCAATTTGTCGGTTATATCTAATCATTTAGTTGCATCGAGTGCTAAATGATCAAGGGTAAACACACAAAATGACACCCTCTCCGATTTTTTTACTTCATATGTTAGGTACTCCCTCCGTTCGGAATTACTTGTTGCAGAAATGGATGTATCTAGACGTATTTTAGTTCTAGATACATCCATATCCAAGACAAGTAATTCCGAACAGAGGGAGTATGTATTAAGTCGTATGTAAAGTTTGATCAAATTTATACACTAGTTAAACATAATATGAAAAATATACTAAATTATGATATTGATGTATCCACTTTTAGTAATGTGATAAGAAGAATATATGTATCCACTTTGTGTATCTATCTGTTGTAGTAGATTAACATTGATGTATGTGGTGAGAACTAACATGTTGAAATGAGCCGTAATATTTGCCGATTGTTTACAATTGAACTTGTATTAAACATGTGCACTAAACTTGTCTAGTGCGAGATATGCCAATGTGAACTCTGATGATCTACTAATTGTGTTTTAATTTGAAGAGTTAGGTTAATTACACGCCATGCGCGCGCACACACACATTATTTATGAAGATGGAGTAACTTTTAGAACTAGTCAATATGTACACGTGCAATGCACGTTAATTTGGAAGTATATTAAGTGCATGCGGATATTAAGTAAGATATTATTTACGTGTAGTATATTAGGTATGATATTAGCTGCACATTATATTAAGTAAGATATATCTGTTGTACGTTGATATTCGATAAGATATCAGTTACTTTTTCACGTGAATGGTAGGATATTAATTACATGGCGAATTTCATGGGATAGCGTTGAGTCAAAACGTGTTTATAACCAATGGCAGTAATGAATAATTAGAGCGTTAAACATGTTTGGTGCTCAACATTGGAGCAATTTGAACCGTTAGATAACATGATTTGACGGTGGTGGAGATGCTTTGGATCTGTCTATTTGAGTCTTTTTATATTGATAGTATAGATAGATAGATGGGCAATAATTGCTCATTTTGGAGGGCTATATTTTTGTCAACTTTATGTAACTCTTCAGTCATGTTTTCGATGCCTATTTCTTTTAACGCGTGTTTCCTGTAGGAGTCAGCAACTATCGGCGGGATTATGTAAAACAACGAAAATGTTAAAAGTCTGACGTAAAAAATTTAACCACAGCAAATCGAACATCTTTTATGGCAAATCAAGTTGTCACAAGGATGAAAATTCCCTCTTGACAAGCACAACAAATCGTTGCAAAAAACTGAACATAACAAGGATCTGCCATGCTTGCTAAAAAGAATTGCCATCCTAAAAAAACGTTTGATTTGTCATGGCTAAGAGCCTGAAATTCGGTTTGTAGCGAAATCCTAAAACAAAGAGGGTCCCCATTTTATAGCAAGACAGTGATAACACCAGGCCAAAACCAAGAACGCTGGAAATACTGTTCGGCACTACAAATCTGCCCCGATCTGATCTACGAGCACCTTCTAACACAGAGCGAGTGTTCCCCTAACGTCTGCCTTCTAACACATCCTGCAAACCGAAGCCGCACATGCACATGCAGCGCGTCCCAAATTACTCACAAGACAGAGCTACGACCTACACGTCCAGCGACAAGAATCTGAATTGCTACTCAGTCACGGCGCAGAAACCCGAGGCACAGCAGAGCGACATGGAGCCCGACGATCAGCTCCGACCACCGCGCCGGCGACCCCAATCTGGACGCCGAGGAGTGGGCCGGCTGCGCGGCCGGCGATATCCCAGCAGCTGCCACAACCAACAAGCCGGTGTCAATGACAATGGCATTTGTACACAACAATGACAATGTACAGCCAATGGCTAAGCGCTCACCGTTGCACACGGAGCTGGTGGTGAGGTTGGCGAGGATGGTGAACGAGGTGCCGTTGGTGTAGCCGGCGTAGGAGCACGTCGTGCTCTCGCAGGCCGAGGTCGCGGACGTCGACGTGTTCCCGAGGAACAGATCTCCGCATTTCGCCGCCGGGCAGGAGGGTGTCAACCCTTGCGTCGGCTGGCAGTCCAGCCTGAATTTTTTCAGGGCATTGCCAAGTTCAGGTTTCGTCAGTTTCAGTAGCATGTACAGTATGATTTAGTAGGGACGACAAGAAGCTGACTGGCCCAGGAAGTACTCACTGCCAACTGGTGGAGCTGCAGCCGCACATGATGCAGTTGTTGGCCGTCAGGATGTAGCTCGCGTTGGGGACGCGGAGGTTGCGGTCGATGGCCGAGTTGCTAATGGCAGAAGAGCAAGCTGCACAAGTGTCACACTATGTTAAACCAGAACCCCTAAACTGAACTCTGAATGAGTATCTGTACAATTCGAACGTATATGACGTCGCTCGAAAACAACTAGTACTCTCTCCGTAAAGAAATATAACAGCATTTAGAAAGATTAACTTGCAGAAGCGTTACAATGTTCATGACAGGCTTAGCTTGATGACATCAGTTCAGTTAAATTCAGAAAAATAAAGAGCAGAAAGTAAACTGTAACGAGCATCTCAACTTATAGAGGCATTGTCATGAGTCGGAGAACGCAAATTAACCAGGTGGCATATGTATGAACATATCGAATGACTTTGCAAATCAAAAGACAGACAGATTCTTGACTGAATTATTTTGCCCTGCTACGATCATTTAACCCGGCTAGTAGTACTACAATTCTTTTGGTCCAATTTTTTTTCTCAGAGTAAGAAGATGGATTAACCTCCTGTAATCAACCATACCATGCGAGAAATGTTAACTGTTCATAACTTCAGACTCAAGTGGCAGCATATCCAAGACTCGAATCTGAACCGAGGTATGATGATATGTGTTGCAACTTGCAAGGTAGAAAACCCCCTTTTTGCCCATCACAAGCACAACTTTTCAGGGCAAACAATCTGAAAAGCAACCTTGGGACACTGTAAAAAGTACTACTCGTACTACAATCTACAAAGAGGATCAAGGAAAGAGATAGGACTTTCAACTTTGCGTTGGCAAAGCATCTCCATGGCATCCCTCCACTTTTACCAGCAGAAAGAACCTAGAAAGAGTTCAGAAAATGTTTGATAGATGCAGCTTCACATCAGCAACTGCCATTGCATCCTGTAATTTGTTGGATCCACCAATAATAAAGAAGTACACATATCGCACAAGCACAATGTACCATCAGTAGCAAACTATCGCAAAAGGAAGAGATATCTCTAACGGTTTATCACTGAACAACACAAAAAGAGGAGGCAAAAATGCATAGCAAAAAGGCTGAATCTTGGAGCAATGGCAAGTCAGCAACAAGAAAAGGGAGAGAGGTCTTCGTGGCGGCACTACCTCGGAGCGGCACGTCGAGGACCTGGCCGGCGAGGAGGCTCTTGGCGTCGGGCATGCGGTTGAGGGCCAGAATCGTCTCCTCCGTGGTCCCGTACTCCTCCGCAATCCCGGCGACGGAGCTCCCGGCAGGCGCGACGTACGTGAGGTGCACGACGGGCTCCCCTCCGACGGGGTCGCAGCTGCAGGGCAGCGGCACCCAGAGCTCCTGGCCGACGGCGACCCGGTTGGGGTCGGAGATGTTGTTGGCGGCGGCGATGTCGCGGTACGTGACGAGCCCCGCGAAGGCGCCGCGGGCGACGGCGTCGAGCGTGTCGCCCGCGCGGACCTTGTAGGTGGGCCGCTGGAAGGTGGCGCCGGCGCCCCCGGAGCAGAGGCAGGGCAGGCGGACGCGGACCGGGGACGGGGCCGGCGCGGTGGTGGGCGTGGAGAGCGGGAGGTCGTTGGAGGCGAGCAGCGCCCGGTGCGAGCGGAGCTGGAAGAGCGCGCGGACGGCGGCCAGGGTGGTGGCGTTGGGCGGGGAGTAGGAGACGAGGGCCTGGCAGGTGGAGGCCCGCGGCGCCGTGGCGTTGCACGCGAACCGCGCCGCCGCGGCCGGGGTGGGGGACAGCACCGCGAGGGTGAGGAGGAGAAGGGCGGGGAGGGAGCAAGCGGGCGCCATTGCCGGCGTGGCGGCGAGGGGAGCTGGCTCAGCTGGAGGCTGGGGGATAGTGGGAGAGTGGGACTGTGTGGGTGGTGGTACAGTGGAGCAGCACGGGGCGGCGTGTGTGGCTTTTGTTTGGTTTGGCTGTTTAAATGTTGGGGAGGCGCAATGGCGCGGAGGTAGAGGAGGAGGAGGAGAGCGGTGCGGTGGCGGTGGTGAGCCCGTGGCGTGGGGCAGTGCGCCTGCACGGCGGCACGCGGGGGCGAGGTGGGCGGTGGGGCTCCCCGCCCTCGGACGCCGTTGGGGTGGTCATTGCCTGGTTTGACGGGTGATCCAGGCCGTGCGATTCTGGTCGCACGGTGTAGACCTGCGCTTGTAGCAGTGGGCCCCGTGCGCGCGCGTCCACCGGCCGGAGCACTTGCCGCCTGTCACGGTGGCAGGCAGGCAGGCAGGCGAGGCGCGGCCTTTCCTCATCTCCGCGTCCATTTATTGCAGTTTTCCTGGGCCAAGTTTGTACGGAAACGGCTCCTCTGCCGTGCAGTGGGCACGGCAGGGATGCTACAGTGTCCCGGGCAGGGTAAAAACAGAAGGCACGGCAGTGTGCACTGTAACCGAATACTCCCTCCATTCCACAATGTAGTGCTTCTTCTATCCACGTGCTTTAACTTTGACCGTAAATTTAACTATCAAGACCGATTGCGGCGGGGCAAAAGTTATATCAGTGAATTCGTATTCGAAAGAAGTTTTTAATTATGTAATTTTTTCTCCCGCCGCAGTCGGTCTCGTTCATTAAATTTATGGTCAAAGTTTGACCTCGGGAAGCGTGAGCGCACTATATTTTGGAATGGAGGAAGTACTATTTCCCGCACTGTAGCGGGATGCGCTGTTCTCGTCCTGTAGCATACGCACTGTTTATGTACTGTAGTAAAGTGATCTGAGCCGTTTATACTACATCTGACAGCTGATAGATGCCCAAAGGCAGGCTTCTGTAGCAACCCTACCGTGCTCACTGGACGGTAGAGCCGGTTCCAGTTTGTACAGCACGCTGCGGCTTGTACGTACTCCTCCGGTCTTTTTACTCTGCATATTATTAGATTTTTTCAAAGTTAATCTCATCTAATTTTGACCAAATTTATATAAAAAATTATAGATATTTACATAACAACATCAATATCATTAGATTCATCTTGAAATATATCTTTATATTATATCTATTAGATATTATAGGTGCTAATAATTTCTAATATAAATTTGGTCAAACTTAGCAAAGTTTGACTTTCGGCAAATCTAATGTACAGAGTAAAAAGGACCGGAAGGAGTACTATTTCAAACAGGATGTGTGATCGTATAAGAGTATCTCCAGTTGCGTCCCCAACAGGCCCTCAGATCATCTTTTCGGCGCCTGCGCCAAAAAAATGTCTCAGCCGCGTCTCCAGGACGACGAAAAGCGCCGGTTCGGTCCTTTTTTCCGTCGGCGGCCGCAGGCCGAACCCGGCGCACTGGGGGGCGATCGGGGGCTCCGGCGCAAGGGAAAAGCGCGGCTGGCCCACACCGTCAGGCGAAAATTCAAGATTTTTTTTCTGACCCGCCTCCCACCCCCGCGCTCTCAGCCGCCACTAGCTATATCCCGGCGCCGCCTGCCACCCTTCACCGCTAGATAGCCATTCCCCGCCGGACAAATAGCAGAGGTTCGCCGCGGCAGCCCCTCCAACAACAGTTGGGCGTTTCCGGCCGCCGTATCCGGCCGCGGAGGGGCAGTTCGGCAGGTGCACGCCCACCGGGCGCAAGGTGTTCGGCGATTTGCCTGCCTCGGCGATGGGCTCAGATGACAAGGAAGCGCTCGCCGTGCTGCTGGAGGAGGAAGCCGAGGCCGACGTCCAGGAAGAAGAGCATCTGATGGTGCTCGCCGCCCTTACCCAGCTGCTGACGAGCAATGAAAAGCCGCGGCGAGGTGGCTCGGCGCCGGGCGGGTGAAAGCAAAAAACCGGCATCGTCTCGAAGGCTACTGCATGCTCTACTCCAACTACTTCGCCGATGTTCCACTTCACGGCGACAAAACATTTCAGCCCCGTTATTGGATGAGCCGAAAGCTCTTCCTCAGGATTGTGAATTCCATCCGGGAGTTCGACAACTACTTCAAGTGCAAGATGGATTGCACCGGCAAACTTGGATTCACCTCGATCCAGAAGTGCACGACAACGATGAGGATGCTTGCATACGGAGCTCCCGGTGATTCACTGGACGACTATGGGCACATGGCCGAGTCCACCAGCATGGAGTGTTTCTACAAGTTCTGTCGGGCAGTGGTGGCAGTGTTTGGACCGTAATACTTGAGAACACCCAATGCGGAAGACACTGCTCGGATCCTAGCACAGAATGCAGCAAGAGGATTTCCTGGGATGCTTGGAAGCATCGACTGCATGCATTGGAAATGGAAGAATTGCCCATTTGCTTGGCAGGGGATGTACAAAGGCGACAAAGCCGGTTGCAGTGTGGTACTGGAGGCGGTGGCTACACAGGACCTCTGGATTTGGCACTCCTTCTTTGGTATGCCAGGAACTCACAATGACATCAACGTGCTGCAGTGCTCTCCTGTCTTTGCCAAGCTTGTTGAAGGTCATTCTCCTCCGGTGAACTTCGAGATCAATGGGCGGCACTACAATAAGGGATACTATCTAGCTGATGGCATCTATCCGAGATGGTCGACATTTGTGAAGACGATCTCAAACCTTGTGCCAGGAGGCAAGAACGTCTGGTTTGCGAAGGTTCAGGAGGCTTGTAGGAAGGATGTCGAGCGGGCATTTGGTGTGCTCCAATCTCGATTTGCTGTTGTCCGGTACCCCGCTCAGACATGGTCAAAAGATCAAATGTGGGAGATTATAACTTGTTGTGTCATCTTGCACAACATGATCATCGAGAGCGAGCAAGAAGACCCAGTGTTTGACACTAAACCATACTACAGGCAGGGTCCTCTAGCCGAAGTTTATCACTAGCTACCGGCAACCCGGACTGCCTATCTCAGTATGCGTCAGGAGATCCGAGACACACAGGTGCATCATCAACTGCAGCAAGATCTGATAGAGCATCTATGGAGGCTAAAGGGCGACGCCGGGCGCGACATGTGATGAAATATGAGTTTTTATTTGTTGAACTATATAATTTGTATTGAATTATTTGTTGTTGTACTATTTTGTTGAAGTATTTGATTTTTCTGTGATGAAATATGTGATAAAAAATTTATGTTGATAATTGAACGCCGAGCAACGCTCGGCGAACCACGTCGAATATGGGCCTATTGTCGCCCATATGGGCCCTTTATTCGTCGAAATGGGGCTGGAAAGTGGGCCAATATCGACGCCTGGTGGCGAGCTGAGAGCGATGACTGGACGCAAAACCTCCCCAGCGCCGATTGTATAGCCGGCTCGCCGGGAGGGGGGGAGGGGCGATTTTTATACGTCTAGGGGGTCAACTGCTGGAGATGCTCTAAATAAATAAATTTCGTAAAGTTAATGTCCCCGTGACAGTGAGGCACGGCGCCTTTGGCCAGCAAACTACTATGGCACTTGTATCTGATCGTACTCGTCACCGTTGTTTACCAAGCTTTCTCTCACACACACAAGCTGATCGACAGAGCCGGCCAGCGCATCCACGGTCAGGTCGCCCCCCAAGAGCAGAGGGTTTGTTACAGCATCGTTTATCGTTTTACCGGTGCTACGATCGATGCCGTTGGCCTCTAGGTTTGGACGGTTCGTATCACCGTGTGCGTATGGGCACGAATCTTTCTTTTCTTTGCCCGCCCGACGGACAGACAGTTTCAATGGACCCTCTTGTTTTCTCCGACTCGATCTCTCTCAGCTTGACCAGAAATGTTCATTCATCAAGAGCTTTGATCGGCCACGACGAGTTGGTCTTGTTAATTTTTTTTAGGTGAACCAGTTGATCTTGTAGATGACTAAGAATTCCTGGGCCAATTCCTCTTTGCTAATCATCCATGCTTCAACATAAACAATCCCAACATTCTCTAGATGTCCTAGAATCTATTCCTTGATACTTAAGGCATGTCAAGCTGATAGAAACCCAGGCCAGCCGCTGAACTGCCCATGTTTTAACTGATTCTTGACCGCATAATGAGAGATTTCATACTGTTGCTCATACGGTTGGGGGTAGATATCACCAATGTTTTAACTGACAAATCAATTTCTAGACCTAGTCCTATATCTAAGGCTGGTCATAGTGGGGAGTAACTTATACTAGTGTCATGCATATAACATTAGTCTAAGTTACTATAAACGATGTAGATCTAGTCCTATATCTATATTTATAGTGCAAAGTAACATAATAGTAGTGTCGTATACGGCTTCATTTATTAGCTTATAGACTCATCTTGTATTGGGAAACGCTATGTTGCAGTAACATATTATGTTACTACTTCTCATTAACTAATTTCCACATAAGCAAAAAAAATTGGAGTGCGTTATGTTACTCACTAGGTTACTCCCACTATGACTAGCCTAACTAACGAATTAGAATCCCTTGATCCTCGCACTACTAGAAAAAGGCTATAGATTTCTTTTTAGAAAAGGAGGTAAAAAACCCGGCCTCTGCATTAATCGATGTGTACAATCATCTTTATGATTATTCATCAAAGATCTGACAAGAACATACATCACGCCACCCGAAGCCATCACTCACACATACAAACTCGATAATGTAGAGTGCTCTCGCTCCCCATATCTAAAACCAATATGGTCGTCGATCTATCCACATAACGTATCGGAACCTACAACAGCAAACCTAAAGCGTATGCCACATGCACACATTTTAGAAGCCGACATCATTGAACTGATGACCCATCTTCGGGAAAGAGATCATCATCACCCTTGCCAGTCCGACCATCTGTTGACGCCACCACGGTGCCGAGCGACACCACCTCCCTACGCGCAAACTGCCGGGAAAATCATGGTAATCTAGAAATAGAATGGACTATTGTTATCTTCTTTTTGTTGATCCGGTATTGG